TCGAGGAATGCGGCCTTACCCCCGTATCCGGGATGACGTCGCCATAACGCTCCCACGGCCTGCTTGTGCTAGGCCTAGATAGGGAGACGGGAAACACGTGGTTCCCACAATGGGGGAAATATTACTTAGTTTCAAGTTTACATGTTAAGAACAGTATGGTGGACACATGTCGGGGAAACTAAAAGCTTAACTAATTTTTGATAATTTCGCAGATATGTATGAAATATTATTTTACCTCAGTTGTTTGGAGGTTTTGGCCAGTTGATCGTACCGCGCTGAGCTCAGTACGTTAATGTGTCAAAAGTTAGACGAAGCTATTTTTAGGGTACACGCTAAACCCACGTGTCTAGGGGTGATGCAAAAGCACCACGAAACCGAAATAGTCTAACGGATTTTGTATGGATATTCTGCGTCATGTCTAGGCATGCCCAAGGCAGCTCCACTGTTTATTCAAAACATTATGCCCACCTGCCTAATACTGTGTTGATTCAACTTTGGCTTGCAAAACAATTGCAAGGGTCCAATTAACTGTCTCTTCAGAATCATCTGCACCCTGACCTACACTGTATCCATACTTCATTTCAGTTTACTTCCAGACGCAGCCGACGCTACAACTTCTTAATGGGACCAGTAAAGCAACGTCAAAAGCGAAAGTCACTAGGCATTTCCCGTTTATGATTGGTTCAGGAATGATGGAACGCGTTCAAAAACAATATGAAAACCATAATGGTGCAATTTTGACACTGTCTGTTTGGTCTATTTTAGCTCGTAACGGCGGCTGCGTCTGGACTTGAGGTGGAACGAAGTATAGCTGTGAGTTGAGCCAAAAGTAGCCGCGTATTTTGCTTTACAAAGCGGGGAAAACCTCCGACCGTCGTTATTCTGTACTCTAAAAAAAAGCGTAGTCGTATAGAGAACGGCGCCGTGATCGACATTGGAACGAACAGGTTGTCGCTGCGAAAGCTTGTTCTACCACCGAATCATTGCGAACCACGTGAACCTGCCGCGGCGGTCGAGTATTTTTGTGACCGTTGCACTTTTGCGTAAAGCGTTACAAGTATTGAATTACTTGTAATCAATTAGATTTTACTGCAATTTTGTAAAGCTTCAATTAGTTCCTCTAAGGAGTAAAGATCCTTGTAATTGACTTACTTTTTTGCCTATTATGGATTACAAAGTTACCCATTACAAGTTTTCTCAATCTCTTCTTTTTGGCGTGGGGGGGGGGGGGGGGGGGGGTGTAGGGGTTAGATGTGCTGTAGTCACTCAGCTCTGGGCAACAGTCAATTTTTCTTTTCTTTTTCGAAACAACTAAACACGGGACCTCGAGGATTAGTAGGCGACTTCATTCTGCTTCGTTTTCTGGGCACATTTATTTTTGGTACATCGGAGATATACGTCCGGGAATGAAAAATGACTTTATCGAGCCTCTTGTTAGTAATGTATCTAGACAGCGCTTTTTATTTATTTATTTTTTAACGAGAGGGATTGCGCGTCTTGGCGCCACTCACTCAGCTCTCGGCAAAATCAATCAGGGCTATCTTTTTTTTTTTTCGGAACAGCTGAGTGCGAGACCCCAGGGTTTATGCTACAGTAATAAACAAAAGTTGAATGAGAAGTAACGTGGGAAGTAATCGATTGGTTCAGAGTAATTTTAGATTACTTTTCGAGGTTGTAATTGTAATCGGTTACTTTTTACATTGAAGTAATTGTAATTGTAATCGGTTACTTTTTTTCTGTGACGTGTACAAGTCTGGCCCGTTGTGGCCGATGCAGTCGCCCGCGGGAAGTCCTTTCAGACTACACTTGGGGTAATCATAAGTCGTCACAGCTATCGCGACCCCCGCGTAGTTATGCTACGGGGGTAAGTTCTACAATCGGCCCCCTTGGATTGATCTTCGAAGTTGTGGAATTCGACTTGCCTTACTGCACCGCGAGGTCGATCCCACTCCGTAGTTCGATGTTGAGGACTGCAACGGCCGGGTCCGTCCAGAGGCTGCCGTGGACTACGAGGAGGGGATTCACTCCAGAACACAAAGATACTGAAGAAGCGGGTTTATTCGGCTCTTGTTCTACCACGCTATGCCCGCCGGCGAAAATAATAAAAGAAAAAAACGGAAAAATGTCGGCGCTGTCGCATTAGACAGATTCACGTGAAGGAGGCCCACGCTGCCGTAATAGGCAGATTCGTGGAAAGGGCAAAGCTCCAAAAAGAACGAGGCTCCGTGGCCCAGAGCCTTCCCCGACGAGGGTCACGGAAAAAAAATTGGCTTGCTCTTTTATGATGAAAATAATCCCTGGAGAAGGGGAACATGAGGGACAAAGGACAAACACAATTTCATCATTACTGTCCAGCTCGCTTGCACCTTTGCATTTAATTGCATTATAATCATGCTCTTTTATGTTTATACAGCCTTGATGGAGATGCGCCTCAACGGGTAATCGGTCTCTTAGCTGTAGATGAGAAATTTAGCCAGTGCGGTACAACCGCTAACCTGGGATTTTTAACGTGCATCAGGCAGTAGTGATCACACGAACGAACGCGTGCCGGTACGAAACTCATCCAGATCTAAACGGGCGGGGGCGGCGGGGATCGAACCCAGGAGGTTCCCAGCGCAAGCTTACGCTCCGAGCTGAGACGCGTTAGCCCACTCGGCCACTTCCTCCCCTCGAGTCACGGCCGAGAGAGAGAGAAAAGTCTTGCAAAAGAGGAAAAACCATCGTTGGAGTTACAGCCATGGGCCGAACGGTCATCGTTGGATTGGGGGGAGGGGAAGGGGATAAAAGCTGATAGAAGAAAAAATTGTGAAAAAAAAGAGAGGGAGGTTGTTTCGCCAAAGCCGACAAGCGGGGCGCGAGGAGCCACAGAAAGTGGCTGGCAGAAAAGAGGGCGGAGCCGAGGAAGGAAGGAGATCCTTTAAATGTCCAAGTGTCTTGTCCAGAAGCCTGTAGCACATCTTCACAGAGTCCAGGGTGAACGAATCGGGTTCGGCACGCGGTGTCCGAATTTCCAAGCACTGTCACCAGTCACACCAACACCAAGTTTCCCAGTATTCCGAGCCAAAGTGCAATGGGTCGGCGAGCATCTCTCTGCTGTATTCACAACACAGCGTTGCGAAAGGATTGGGGGGAACATTAATAGATTCCGTTCCCTCAACAGGGGCGGTCGAGCCTATTGTATGCATAAGGGACATTCTGCAGAGTGCTACGGAATGACATTCTTTGCCTGTGTTTGGCTGAGTGACCCACGCGATTTAACGCGTGGTTCACCAAACGGAAAGGTAGAAATTACTTGTATGGCATTTTCTGAAAATGCCTGACCCTTGGCATGCCTAGGGTTTACTAGCTTCCGAATCTATCATTCGAAAACTTTTCACGGCTGGGCGAGGTTAGTTCCTGCCCATTAAAAGAATTCCGAATTTATCATTCGAAGCCCTGACTCAGCAAGGTCATTCCTTGCCCACAAGAGAGGAATTAAAAAAAAAAAAAAGAAATTAAAATAAACAAAAATGGCACGGCGCTAGAGCGGGACAGCGCGCGGGGAGACAGCTTTGCCAAAGCAAAAAGGGCCCCGCGCGAGATTACGTGTTAACACATCCATCGAGCCAGTACATCCACCGAGCCATTACATCCATCGATGGATGTAACTGCATGGTGGATGTACTAGCTCGTTGGATGTGTTGACATGTGTATGGATGTAGCTGCTCGATGGATGTAGTTGCTCGTTGAATGTAGTTGCTCGATGGATGTAGTTGCTCGATGGATGTAATTGCTCATCCTATGTTACGACGCCTAACGTGCCATTACATCCATCGTGCTAGCGCATCCGTAGAAGTCAAGATGGCCGCCATTGGGCTTTTTGCGTTATCCGCATTCTTATGCGGAGAGCAAGTCCGTTTGCTTCTTGCGCAGGGGTCGCGGTGACGTCATAAAGACGCCGCGCTCTGAAAGGAGCTCTGATTGAACGATAGTGGTTAGAGCTCAAGGCAGCTTGCTTTGAGGTCTATCCACTATCCTTCATCCAGAGCCAACCAAAGCTCGGCGTCTTTATCACGTCACCGCGACCCCTGCGCAAGAAGCAAACGACTTGCTCTCCGCATTGGTTCGGGAGCCACGGGGACATAACAAACGGTAAGCTCCAGAACGTTAGTATATCACAATTAAATTCGATAAGACATTCTGTTTTTCTTTTTGTTTTTTTCAAAGCAAAATAAAAGGTGTGGTTGTGTGTACCGTCCAAATTATATAATAAAGTTTATCTTTATATATATTTGAGGGTGAAAAAAGCAGCAACTAAAGTGTGATCACTGTGGAAACAACGAACAACGAGCCGATGATGCATGTTCGACTTTGGAGACGCCAAGCGCATGACGCACAGAGGGTCCTTTCACTCGCTCTAGTACATTCAATTTAGCGTATAACTCTTCAAAATATTGTGAACTATTATACAGCATAGTTAAACAAAGAAATAAACCTGCGTGATTGATGGATGTAAGGGCACGTTTTTGGAACAAGCTGCTCGTTGGATGTGATGACAAGATGGATGTGATGACACGATGGATGTAACGGCACGATGGATGTAATGACACGCTTTTGGAAGAAGTGGCTCGATGGATGTGATGGCGCGGTGGATGTACTGACACGATGGATGTAACGGCATGATGGATGTAATGGCACGTTGGATGAACTGACCAAAAATGGATGTAATGGCACGATGGATGTGCTGGTACTATGGATGTACGGGCACGATGGATGTAATGGCACGAAATTGGACGTATTTGCTCGATGGATGTAATGGCACGATGGATGTGTTGGCCCCAAGCCCCCGCGCGAGGGGCAGACCTGGCGAGAATAAATAAAAAAGAAAACGCCGGAGAGTCGCTATCAGTTAAGATATGCACAAAGAGCAGTCGCGCGCCGAAAACGCCGGAGAGTCGCTATCAGTTAAGATATGCACAAAGAGCAGTCGCGCGCCGCGAGGCGAGTCACGGCCGCCGTCCGTGGCCGCTTATCTAGCCAGCGGTAGAGTGCCTTCATACACACGCGCGCCTTTGCTTGAGTGGTGACATCTCAGCCATTTTTCCGCTCAATTGTTTTTCATGCCTTTTGAAGTGCGCGTAATCCGGTGTCACTCAGCTCGAGCGCGTAGCTTTAGCTAATGCATAGACGCCATTTTACCGCCCGAGTCATGCACCGAGTGCGCGAGAGCGTCACGCGCTGGCACATTTAGTGCAACAATGGATGTCTTCACCCTGAGACAGACAGACATGCAGGCACCCTAGCCAGCGGAAAATGGACGCGCCCGGGGTAGGTGGTGTGGCTTATACCGCAGATGGGCCACGTCCATAATCATTTCCAGGGGTGCGCCAGCGGCACATTAACCCAAAGGGCGAGGGAAGACACGCCCTCTTCGAGGAATGCGGCCTTGCCTCCGTATCTGGGATGACGTCACCATAACGCTCCCACGGCCACACGGCCTGCGTGTGCTAGGCCTAGATAGGGAGACGGGAAACACGTGTTTCTCATACGCAGACGCAGACGACGTTGCGAAGGAGCAGACGACGCTCAGATAGGGGGTCGCGATCAGCCAATCAGGGCTCGGCGTTCTGATGTCACCACTACCCCTTGCGCAAGAAGCAGACGAACACCATTATTTAACGGCGGAGGCCTACTGCGAGCTTTCAGATTGGAAAGTAAAGCCCCGGAGCTCAGACGAGCGAGTGACTTGCTGCCTAGACAACCGATAAAGGCTCTAGACTCGAGCGCGCGGTTAAATAGGAGAACGAAACAATGCCTGGTGTGGACACCGCAGCCGATGGCAAACGACTGGTCGGTAAACCAGTCACCGTGATTGCAGTTAATAAGCAAGGCAAGCTCATTCTAAATTCTGAGGCGCTTCGAAGTGTTTTGCTCCAGAAGGACGTTCGGAACCTCCCCGTGGTCGTGCTCTCGGTGGCCGGAGCCTTTAGGACTGGCAAGTCTTCCATACTCAACGTGTTACTCAGGTGAGTGCTCGGGTTTTGTCTCTTTAAAAATTGCTCATTAACCTGCGTTCATTCTATTCTCACTTCGCTATGACCTTGTTGAAAAAAAATAGAATAGAGAATCAGGAAATATTATGTCATTGCTGCGGCAATGACCGAAAATCAACCACTTGTACGGTTTAAGCTAATCCTAAGCAGCTGATAGTCACCAGAAGCTTTATGTTAATTTCTTTTCTTTTATGTCTTTAGCATGGATTATAGTCAGGGGTCGACGCTAACGCATACACGGCCGTGCTTCGAGGTGGCGACATGAGTTCTCGATTGCAACTCAGTGCGTTGCGTTCGCTATGCTAAACCTCTCTGTTAAACACGTCGAAGCATACATACTTTTGCTTGACGTCTTGTCGTCTTCGTTTTGGTTGAACACACTAAAGATAAATCTGTCCTTATCCAATGTCAGAACATGAACTTCGATGATGTTGCCTCTAGTCTCCACAACTTCAACTGTTACGTTGTCTTCAAAAACACGATCCCTTCAAGCTGGCATTTCTACCCTGTGAACAAATCGTGCGGGAACGCTTTTGTTTCCCTTTGTCAGGGGTCGACGCTACATACCAGTGTTGCGGAATGGGCACCCCCATTCCATTCCGATTCCATTCCGGGGAATTAGAGTTTGCGATAATTCAATTCCTTTCAACTCCTAGGAATGGGGACACTGGGCCCATTCCCACTCCTGGAATGGCTGAATCGTTCCATTCCATTCCTCTAATTCCAAAACGTAAAAATTCGCTGTTTCCAGCTACATTTTGTTGCCGGCATAAGCACCATAAAGCTGACATTATCAAACGCGTAGACAATTGCAACAAAATGCAAAATGCCCCCCCCCCCTCCCCCCCCCCCCAAAAAAAAAAAAAACAAACACTGATTTTACTAAGCGGAGCGCTGGTGGCGCAAAGTGTTTGTTTAAATTGTACTGCAATCATCGAGAAAGCCTCTTGATATGTCGATGCTTGTTTAAAACATCGTTCTTTAGACCACGTCGCTCACAACAAACAGCGAAACGTAAATCCACTAATTTTCTTTGGCAAACTTTTTTTTGCATTTGTCTTCTAGGACATACGCGGCCAGCGTGTTTGTTTGATAAGACCATAAAAATATCCAGTTCGTGCGTGGCGCAAAAATAAGCTATATTAAGTACTGTATTCTTCAAATACCTGCACAGCAATACGGTTAGTACGCTGCTGAAAGCGACTCCATGCACAGCGGCAAGAACACATTCTCTGACTAAGTGCAACCTCTACGGCGCGGCACGAGAGACCATGTCACGAAGCAGTCTTTCTGCAGGTCTAGTCAGTTCGGTCAAGCAACAAGAGCGGTGACGACAATCTACTTCACCTTACGATGGACCGCACCAGACAGCACGAGAGCCATCGAAACCAATCCAGTGCCTTCTGAGTGTCGCGAGACCCTGAGGCGCAGCAACGCGCCTTGCGTATAGTCCCGCTCACGGGGCTGGATTGCCTGGGGTGACTCGTAGCGTCCGCAGCGGTCCATCACAAGGTGAAGAAAAGTAGGCAGAGTCTAAAGTCGAAGGAAATGAGCGGGAATCTGCTTGTTTGCTTGTAACCCTAACCCACTTGAATGTAAAACATATAACACAGAAAACAAGCATCAGAACAAAGACCAAGTAAAAGGCGGATTTATACGTAAAAATGCAGAATAATAAAACAAGTGTCGGAGCGAAGTGCAAGAGAAGAGAGAAGTGAATATTGCTTTGTTTTAATGCCGAAGCAAACCCACTATTCGCACTTCAAAGAGGTGCGCGCGAATGAACGTGGAAGGCAGCAGGTTTGGCTGCCTGCTAAACAACGCTCCTTGAACTATACGAAAACAATAACTGATCATCGTTCGGCGGCGCGCGACTCAACGAGTTATCGGAGCTCTGCAAGTTATGAGTCGTCCCCCACTCTCAGATCTCAGTTTGTGCGTGCGTGTGTTCTCCACGCTTTCGTTTCTCTTGCTTGGTGCTTCGTTTCTTGTTTCGCTTGCTCTCGTGTAGCGCCATTAAAGGAGCGATGCAACAATTTTTGTACTGTGCACAAATACCGCTTAAAACGGATCCCTAACGTTAATGACCTATGAAACACGCGTTCGTTTTTCACCCCACGCAATAGAAGTCCCAGAAAAAAAATTTAAGAAAAACGAGCAGCGTTCACCCCCTCAACTCGCAGCCAGAACAAGCGGCCACGTGATCTGGAGCCGATTATATGCCGCCAGTGTTGATCATAGCCACGCGCTGGGGTTGGCAAAACGCAGGACACGCGCTGAGTTCCAGACATTGTTAAGGCTCGGCTGTTGTCGTCGTTGCAGCGATTGGACACGGGTCACAACCCGGATGCTTCTCGAGCTAGCAATTGTCACGAGCCCAAGTCGAGTGCCCACGCAAGGCTCGGGTCCAATCTATGAACCGCATTCAAATATCGTCACTTGGGTGTACTGCGATCCCCGAGTTACGTCATCAAATTTTGCAAAGGAGAGATTGAATGAAAATGATCGCTTTTGTCCTTGAAATTACACCGCAACAAAGGAGTTTCTTGGCCAATGGCGTTGCGTGTGAGTATCCTTGAGTCCCAGGTGTGCCAGTAAGCGCGTGTAAAGTGAAAAACATTCCAATTGAATATCGTTGCACAGCTCCTTTAAAGCCCGTCGCCTGCGCGAAAGGCGCCACCCCCCCCCCCTCCCTCCCCCCACTGCTCTTTGCTTTGACGCTTCTTTTTTGTATTGCATTTTTTGCGTATAAGTCTAGAGCTCCACGCGGGTTAGCTGTTTCCCGCCCGCTCATTTTATTTCTGAGCAACTGGCTCGCTGACTGGCTCAAATTCGCTGACCGTAAACAAAAAAAAAGAAAAAAGAAAAAAAGAGAAGAACGGGTCCATTCCATTCCATTCCGGGCAAAAGGCATCTAATTCCATTCCCATTCCATTCCCCTCAACGCTGCCGTCATTCCATTCCCATTCCATTCCGGGGTCGAAAAAATTCGGAATAATTCCGGAATCATTCCAACTCCGGAGTGGCAACTCCGCAACACTGCTACATACATGCGCTTACTCTCGGAGTCGAAATAGTTGCCTTGTACCGCATGTACACTAACGCTTGGATCCTACTTTGGACGGTCGGCAAAAATCGGTTGCTCAATGTATCGCGCTGGGATTTACTACAGAGATGCCCAAGGTGGTGTAGTCATCAATTGAAAGTATGAATGCATGAAACCTCCGAAGTTAAAACAAAAGAAAATAAAAACTTGTTTTGTGAACGAAAAAATTATTTGAAGTATTTTTCCCCACAATCATCCCAAATCGTTCTGGGCTATTATGGCCTTTATTACGACGGAAAAATTGATTAAATGAAAAGAAAATACAATTGGCTTACCTATTCTTCAATTAAAATTTGGCCCAAATAAGGGACACGGTGAAAGGAAATATATTTTGAGTGTGCGTGCAAAGTATATAAAAAATATAGCTTTTGAATCTTCGGGATTACTCGGGTGAGCCAATATTTCCCCAATTTTAGTGACAGCTTCCACCACATTCGTGCATTTCTGAATGACGTCGCATGCAAGCCATGTATTGTAGCGCGATACGCTAAGAACCTGATTTATAGCGACCGTTTAAAATGGGATGGAAGCGTCAGTGTTCACGCTGTAGAGTGTAAAGTTGTCGTCTCGAGTTATGTGGGAGCATGACACTAGAGTAACGCCTCTTTTCAAATATCACACTGCACATTCTGTGTCACCCAATCCTATCCGTGCCAGCAATACGTGTTTCGATTTAATATTATTATTTCTTGTGCTGAATATATGAATAAATTTAAACCCTCCAGAATGGTCAGAGCCGGTATTGCTGAGACGTTTTACGGTATCGTCGATTGTAGCATCGATGTATTAAAATTACTCAAAAAAAGAAGGTGAAAACTTTGATTCCCTGCCGCGGGCAAATTATCTTTGGTAATTTCTTCGCCACGTTCAATAGAAATAAATATTTAATGAGAAGAGAGCTCGAGACGGAAGTTATAATCTCTTTTTTTTTTTTTTTTTTGTGGCGCCATGTATTCTATCCTCAGTTTACTGCTGCAACTATCCGTACATTGAGAGTTTCCGTTATTTCAGAATGTTCAGGTTTAGAAACTTACTTACCCGTACCTCGACGATGGATGGATGGGTGGATGGTAATGGCGATACCCTTTGTAACGGGCGGCAGCTTGCGTCACCCAGCCTAACATTTCGTCACCATTTTTCTTAATTTGTATAAATTTTCTTATAACCAGAACCCCCTTCCCCTTTTAAAGTGTTCCATTGCTTATTTTATCTGTATTTTTCTTACCCTTCCCTAGATCTGTTCTACCAATTTTTCAATCTCCTCTTAGTTACCGCAATTCGTCCATCCATGTCTGTAAATCATCCCCCCCCCCCTCCCAGTGCCCCCTCCAAATCCGTAGTCATCCCCCCAAGAGGGTGGGACGAAGCCCCGTGCACCTTAAAATTACGTGTTTTATAGTTTTCCTTTCGTAGTTGCATATGTTGCATAAAGTGTTAATTTCCTGAAATTTAGCCCTATATGTTTTCCTTCTTAACACCCCCGTTCTAGCTTCAAACAGTAATGAGTTCCTCAATGAATTATCATACAACTGTTCCTTTTTTCTTTCTTGTTTTTGGGCCCTGTATATTGTTAAGGCTGATTTCCCCTGCTTTCTATCTTCCCACAATTTGTTCTCTGCTTCCTTTACTCCCTTTTTTACCGATATACTCTGATCAGCCCCATCTCGTTGAATGTATTTAGATCTCAGCTTTCGGGTTCGGTTTGTCCACTTAGTGTTTAGAGTTTTTATATATAAATACTTGTACACTTTTGCTGCCCACCGTATATCCTCAATTTCAGCTAGTCTTTCTTCAAACTTTACTTTACTGATCGGTGTCTACTCTTGAAAAATGCCCACCCATATCCCCCTGTACTCCCTCATTCGGT